AAGTCACTTTGAGTTAGGAGGACTGAAGACCAAACTCGAGGAAATGGCGCAAAGCAGGCCAAGTGCTTCCCAGGAAGTTCTTCCTTTTTATGAATATAAGAAAGAAATGGAAGGAAAGAAAAAGTACTTTAACCTGATCTGTGCAAGTTGCAAGGTCAGATGTAGATAACATGTTCAGATTTCAAGTGGTCAGAGCAAACTAGGAATACAAAGACAAGGAAATACAGTTGTCCAGCTCAACACTGTGATTCGGTTGTAACAACTGAAACAAAACAATGAATGTTTTGTGTGCAAATATTTTATTTTTCTAGCTGTTTTCTCTAATTGCTGGCTGTATTCAAAAGCTGGGAAAAATTTACAGTAGTCAGCTATAAAGCTAGTATCAAGTTTATTCCCATAAAGAATTTTTAGTAAATATTTGGAAAAATAAGTTATTTTCAATATTGACACCAAAGAACAAGGATAGTGCCTTCACATTGGATAATCACAAACCTAGATATTAAATGTGAGCCTAGAAGTGTATTTACACTATTTATGGTAAATTTGAATTATGGTTTAAAGAATAAAATAGAAACTGATTCAGAAGTGTTTCTACCATGTATTCTGTTCTTGAAAGGCACAATTAGGTTCATGCAGAAAAGAATTCCACTGAATAGAATGTTGCAAAAATTAACCATCTCCAGTCCAACCAAGAACTTTGCAAGCAGGGATATGTCTTTTAAAGTCTTGGTATTTGGATTTACTCAATATATCTGAATGAACCATCTACTCCAGGTCTCTTCTGTATGACTCAACATGGAATAAACTCTAGAGTAAATATGGTTCCTTTCTTGTCTGTTTCTTCAACAGAAAATCAAAAAGATTAGTTTGCAGAAGTCTCCATCAAGTTGTTTTCCAATAAAACCCAAAAAATTTCCCATCCATGGAATATAACTCACAAAATTTTCTTGCTACAGGTAGCATATTAGAGAAAGAAATTAATGGTTTTTTTTTAAACAAAATCTCAAGTGCGGCAAGGTACAATTGTGTTCACATTGTGCTGAGTATTTCTTTCAGTGTTCAATATTAAACTTAAGCAAATTCAACAACTATCTTTGATAATGATTATATTAACTATGACTACTGCGCTTTATGTTAGCCTTTGACCTGATGTTGAATTGCAACATCAGTGTGAGTTGTCTGTCAAAATTCAAATTATTTCATGAATGACAAAAGTAACCCTTAATTTCAGGAAATAGTTTATTAAGCTATTCCTTGTATATTTTTGTGCACTAGTATGCCACGTTTGCCATTGAAGTGTTTTTAAGTGTACAACAAAATGGAGAAAGTGAAAACTATATCCATTTTCAAGTACACCTAACTGTAATATTTACGTTGTGTGGTGCATTGGAAAAAAAGTTTTGATATGAAGAGATTATTTTGCTTTAAGCAATCATTTTAGCAATTCTTAAAACACACTAGCTTGATTAATTATGTACAGATGCTTTATGAGAGATTGGAAATGAATCTGATGGGAATTTAGCAGTTAAAATACATGCAAACCTATGATTCCCACTCAAACATTTATGACACAGCAATAATATAACAATCTACCTATATATTTTAGGGAAAGGTTCCTTTGCATTTATGATAGTCACAATGCCATTGCATTCATGTATAAAATAGGTAGAAATGTGAAAAATCTGTACAAGGAATTCTGTGTATCTGTTAATATTACAAAATTAGCTGAAGCGAGGTAAGAATGGTGATGGATGAGTTCCACTTGAGGAAGATTGGTTTGGATCTAGAAGAAAAAAGGAAGCGAGTTAGTTCTTTTTAAAAAGGTGTACAGAAACAAAGTTTAGACTCTAATTGAAAAAGAGAATTCTGATGTTCTCCTGCAGTGTGCTTGTCTCCCTCTCAGGCCCATTCTTGGGATGTCATGCAATGCTACAACATCCCTAAGAACAGCATTGAAGGAGATGAGAAGTGTGCATTAATGATATTTTATTTACAACAAATATATATATTTATTACACGACTCGGGCAAGCAGAGGGCCAATAATTAAAATCAACCAATCAAAATGCTCTATTTGCCGGTCCAATATTCTCTAAGTATTGGACTGGGCACCGTCCCGAATGATACCACACTTGTGTCCCTTTGAACTTCAGTCGTATAATTAATCTCTTATTAACCAAGCTTGCTCAGGACCGTACTGGAAGAATATCAGCCCTCTGTCTTTTTTGTACGGACCGAGCTGTGCTCGGTCTGTACTGTCAAGACCTCGGGCCAATATTTTCCCAGTACGGCCCTTGCGCTTGGTTAATAAGATATACATATCTATATATAGGCTAAATTAAGGGGAAAAGTGATTTAATTGGATTGACTAATAAATATTCATCAAATAATGGGACCACAGAAGAGACTGGATAATTGAAAATTCCAGTTAATAGATGATTAGCTGTACCATCAGTAAGTAACACACCTGTGTGTTTCCTCTTGGGAATGACAGAGAATAAAAGAAAGGAAAAATTTATGCCAATACCACAGAGTAATGCAAAATACCTTGATAGACGGGCTGATTGGACAACAGGGCACCATGGGGAAGCTGTAAGGTGGGCACGGTCTGATTGGCCGTTGGGTTCATCCCCAAGAGAACTGTTGGAATTTAAACAAATAGGTTCAAACAAATTGATTTTAGAACTTAATCTAAATTATCTTTAGCTTTTTCATCATCATATTACTGACATAGCAGCATTGCTTCTGTGTGAACTATTCAGTTATTTCAGTAATGAAAGAAGATGTTTTCAGTGAATGACACAGGCATACTTAGAGAAAAAGAAAACTGAAAGCTCTTAATAGGAGTCGAATGTACAACCTTCCTTCAGATGCTCTAGTACTGAGCCTGTGTAACAACAGAATACATCATCTACTTAAACACCAAGCTTAAAATTTATCATATTCATCTACTTTAGTAATCTTTACAAACTTCAATTGCAATGATCTCACCACTTTTTCACTCAGTAATTAGTCAATCTTTATCTATCCTTTGTGCTGATGGGGTCAAACAAAACTGATACTGTTTCCAAAGTGTACAACAGTTCAACCTCAATTATCCAGACCTCAATAGACCACTTTCATAAATGGCTGCTGGATTAATATTCTTTTGTTTAGATTTAAATTAGCCCTTCTGGCCTCGTTCTCCAGTACAAAATTCAAAAGAATACATCATCTCAAGCGAGGCCACAGGGGCTACTTTAAATTTAAACAAAAGAATATTAATTTGGCAGCCATTTATGAAAGTGGTTTATTATCTCGATTATCCTGACTTTTTCTCTGGTCCTAATTTTGTGATAATTATTTATCAGCCATGATCAAGATCTGTTGACATACACTTTTCTAAACTACAGCGCGATTTTGTTTTACTTTGAAGATGCAAAAGCTAATTGATGAAGAACATTCGAATGAGGTCTGATTGGCTTAGAGTTGCTTTGTTACTAAAGGAGATTTCACGCTCTATAGGATCTTTCAGCATGGTAAGCAAGCTCTACAGCATCGTGAACGCTTATTTACAGAACTGATAGACAAGTAACCCCTCCTACCCTTAAACTCCCAGAAGTTATAACAACATGTTACTTCTTATAGTAACTATACGTAATCCAGTTGTAGTTGTTGCCTTGATCTAACACCATATTCTCGGAACTCGTTTAAAAGAAAATGCATAGCAGCTAGAGAAGAGAATTAACAATCAGGGTCGAGTTGTTCAAAGGTGGGTTAGGATAACCCAGGGTCAGTGTCAAATTAGATTTCAGATCTGAAAGCTTTAAAAGAAAATTCAGCTTATTTCCACTTGTTTACAATTTGATGATTGAATGAGCTAACTAAAAAGAACTGAGAAAATTATCCCAAAACAGCTTTTGAACAAAGAAATATAGAAACCTGGATTAAAATTTAACCTTGGGTAAGCGCTAATTGGCCTTCGAACAACTGGGCCCAGATTCTTGGGAGTTTTAAAGGGTTACAGAATCAGCCAAAGGAACCACTTCTATCATACCACATTACAGACTGAAGTAACTCTACCTTGATTGAAGTGATTCTGTTGCAGAGCCAAGCCAGATTGTTCCTGCGACTGTCGTGACAAGTGGTGTAGCATAGCAGACTGCAGATTGGGTGACACAAATCCAATGTGGGTTAAAGGTGTGGTGCCTTTGCCTTGAAGATTGACAGCTGCAGCATTAAACAAGGTGAGGTTGGAAGGTTGAGGTTGCAGGAGCACTTGTGAAGCAACGGCTGAATTTGAAGACATGGTAATGGGTTGAGGTGACAAACCTGGGTTAAAACCTGGATGTACTGCTTGGCAGCTCTTGAGATCAGGTCTGTAAACATGATGAAAAAAAGTTGCAAATGGTAAACACCACTGTGTACACTAACAAATGTACAAATGGTAAACACCACAGCGTACACTATTGAGTTATGGATGCATGCTGGAGGTTGCTAAGCACAAAAGAAGCATAAGAGTCGCGAGAGGTGATAGCCGAGAGCAACTCTAGCTTCTTGAGTGCTTAGTAAACCTCCCAAGTGCATCCATAACTCAATAGTTGTACACTGTGGCGTTTACCATTTGTTTTATAACATAACATTGATACATTGTAGTGACAGTTTCCTTTTATTTAACAAATCTTACGTGACCAGAAAAAACAAGCGCATGCGGAAAACTAGTCATTGCATTTGCTCACGTCAGCAGCGTACATCCAGGGGCAAATGGGGGACGCTGAATTGACCAATCAGAGTGCGTGCTTTACTTTGGTTATGTTATAATGACCATTGCAATAAAGGTTAAGCACAATTGCTTGTCATGGATGGGATGCCAATCTACTGCAATGCTACCTTCACCCGTGCATTTCATCAGCTCTCCCTTACAGTTCTCCAGTAACCCTTTGTACTCCAAGGTGGAGATGCCAGAGAACACAACATAATGAACTGACCAGATCTGAAGCCCCAACCTCTCCTCCCACAGGCTAGCACAGTAACTGTGGAACTCCAAATTCTCAATTGCATCTAAGATGGCGGTACTTGACAAAAACTGGAGGATATGATTTCTAAACACTGCACTCACACATGTACAATCAGTCACATCTGCTTACCTTCTTTGAGAAGCAGAATCCAAAATTGTTGGACTTGATGTGGCCAAAGAGACTGGGGTTTGTTGCTGTCTCAATGAAGACGCCAGGTCAATAAAGCTGTTTTGCAAACCTTGAGCAGCAAGGCCACCAACAGTTGCTGCCATTAATCCTTGCTGACTTGTACTGGAACTCTGAACAATGGCAGGGGAGGAGCGAATGATCTTTGGGGGGGACGACATTGTGATTTGAGTGCGTGCAGGTGAAATTGTGGATGACTGAACTGGGACTGATATTGTTGATGTGACTACAGAACTAGGCATATGACTTAAGGGTTGGTCTCGTGGCTTCTCCTTAGGTGATGCGGGTGTCTTGTTAAGAAATGAACCTAACTGTTGCTTTGGAGGTACTGTCTGTGGAAGTTGAAGAGATTTTGTTGCGACTGCTTGTCCCCCTGGAAGAATCATATCTGCAAAGTCTAATATAGTGAGAGCAGGCTTTGACTGAAGGTTGTCTGATGACAATGATGGTGACTTCATGGCTGGCTCCTTCTTTGGAAGATTTAATCCTGCCATTGTTGGAGCAGATTGGGTTTTCTGTTCAGGTCCTGCCCTGCTCACAGCGGTGCTTTCCATTTTTGTTACACTAGCAGTGGTAACAATAGGTTTTTGCACAGTTATCGCAGAAGTAGGGGCTACCACATTGGGGATTAACTGGTCTGACTGAGCAAGATTCTTCAAAGCTGACATAGTTATCACTGCTTTTGTTGTGGTCAATGATGGTGCACGCGCTGGTGATGTGACTGCAGAAGGACTTCCAATGCCTACCACTGAGGAAGTGGCACTTGGTATGTCCTTAATATCAGTGCTGCCAGAATTCTAAAAGTACAACAATACATCTCAATATGCTAGTTAGGTAAAATCGATAAACAAGCAGTTTGTTATTAAATTCACATTTGTCTCCTTCTGGCTTTGTACTTATGCAGTGTTATATGAAATTGTATGGGCAAGCATGCCACTTCTAATTTCCAACATTGTTTTGAATAAAACCAAAATTGCAAAAACCTCTGAGTGCTTTATGTCTTCCAACTTTATTCTATTGAGAATTTCTCTTTCCCCACCCCACTAGGGGCAATGTTCACTTTATCCATTGAACCCTATCATTTCAATTTCTACACATGGCAAGGGAACCTTGTAAAGATGATTGAGGACTTTTAAAATCAAAGGACTTTTTTCAAGAAACTTCATTTTATTCCATGTCCCAAGTACTTCTGCTTCAGATTCCAAGATTAGATTTAAGTCCTCACTCAATTTAAGGTTTAATTTTACTGCCATGAGTGTGAAACCAGGAAAAATCCATGAGAGTCCTGATGCAAATTAAGGAGGTTGTTTACTGACCTGACTAGTTTGATTGGGGAGACTGATACTCTGGTGAGCCTCTGGAGATTCCCCTTGTTTCTTAGGGCCAGGAGCTGTAGAGAAGAGCATAATCAAGGTCAAAACCCTGTCCAAGTCTTAGAGAAAAAACTACTCACAAAAAATACCTCATACTAAACAATAGAGAAATTTTGACAGAGTCAAAGAAGAGTTAAAGTTACCTTTCATCTCAACATAACCCTAGTAAACTGGGACTGCATTGATTTTGCTTTTTCACAATCTTTTATTGGTTTTGAAATTTTTCCCCATCTCAACAATCAGAAAACAAAAAATAAAAACAAACAATTACAATGTATGAAAGCAATCCTCACAGTAAAGAAACCTACATATGTAGTAATGGAAATAAGTAGGGTCAACTACTGCGACGATCGCTTTCATACCTTTCATGAATTTTTAAATTCTTGCTTAAATTCTTGTTCACATCAAGAAGTTTCATTGTATTTTTTCAATCACTTCTCATTAGCTCCTGTGGTATTTTCCTTTTTTCTTATTGGTTGGCATATTTGAACTTAGGTTTTAGTTTAGCCACACTTTAAATGCACTCTTAATACCCATTTTACAAATCTTACCTTTCTTAGGGACTTTAGCTCTGAAAGAGAAGTAAAAACAATAAGTATGAACATTGTAACTATTTCAATTCACTGCAATCAAATAAATGCCATACGAATGAAACATTTCTCTTACGAAACAAGGGTGTACTTTAAGTGTGCCTGCTTGCTTTCTTTGAAGAGTATTCTAAGAGAAGAAAAAAACAAAAAACAAAACAAAAATCAAATGAAATATTCTGATCTTGCAGAAAAAAACATATTAAGTTCTAGGATGATAATTGAGGCAGCTAGAAGAATGATCTCTTATCAAGCCCCAGTTGTTCAAAGGATGGAGAATGCTATGCACCCCATAAATCTCTATGCAGTGTACAGCAAATGCCTTTTTGTCGACACTTGTCTGCTAAATAGGGATTTGTCTGCTGGATAGCATTGTACACTCTTTGATCAACTGGGCCCAGATCAGCAAAATTCATGGATTAAATTAGCAAGCAATTGATCAAGTGCCAACCTGCTTGTCATCCAGCCCTTTGGCCAAAGTGGCCGTACATCATTTTCAAAGAACAGCTAAAAAAGAAAATTACACATTGTCAGGACAAAAAATCTTTAGGCTGGCAGAGAATTAAAAAAAGAGAGAGAGAAAACTTGGAACATCTGCACATCTCAACAATCAATATGACCCTAAGATGAGGCCACAGGATGCCTTTCAAATACTAACAGCCAAAATACAAGAAAACTGTGCCAATGGAATTATAATAAATCCTTTAATAAATGGTTTGACACAGAATACAAGCAGATAGTTTGTTTGTTACTCATATATTTCATTGCCCCCCCCCCCTCCCTGCACAGCTCAGAAAAATATTACCCAATTTGCAGAGTATCTGCAGACAGTCAAATAACCTGAACATACTATGTATTACCTTCAACTGGTCCTCAGAAGATTGTGCTCTAGTCTTTGACATTTCAAAGATTTTGATTTTCATTTGAACAACATCACATAATAGATTCCTAATTAAGAGAAAGTTGAAAGCTAAAAGTTAACAGATCACAATCAATACATACTGAGAGTCCACTAACAAAATCAATGCCAAAAGGAACAAGATAATTACTATTCCAGCAAATAATTTATTTGCAACAAATTGAAATTATGAGTAGCAGCACTGTGTTAATTCATATGTACCTCAATTCTTCTGTCCAAACAAACTTTCGCTTTGGAACATTTTTCTTTGCTTTGTCTTCTGGCTGAGCAGGTGCCTTCATCAAAGACAGGATGATAATTTTTTGTCACAGCTAAATAATCAACCATTCTGGCCTGTTTACATCACTCGCACAACAAAAATGCTTTGGCAATAATTTGATTTTTTCTCAAAAAATGATCAGTTCCTCTAAAATTCACTCAAGTTCATTAATGCAGGGTAATAGCACTTAATAGAACAGCAGCACTAAAAAAAACTACCATGAGATGCATAAATAGTTAAACCTACATTAGGATCTGTGGGAGTGGTAATTTCATCACTTTTCTCTGTATCTTCATCCAGCTCCATTGCAGATTTAAAAAGTTCCTTCTGCAACAACAACAACAAAATTACAACGAGAATAAGTACACGCACTGATCAAAATCCAGAAAAATCTTTCACTGTTGCCGTAAAGTTCAAAGCAGGTGGCTTTTTCCCCTAGATTTTTCAGTGGAATCATTAAAATATTTTTTGACTACCCACTATCGCACCTTATTCTCAACAGAACTATGCTCATTTGTTTTCTCAAGTTTTAAAAGTAATTTTAAGGCTTTACTTAATCACAACATTGCACTGAAGTTTACTAATCTTTTAAAGTAGAGAGCAAGAACTTGAAAGAGAGTATAACTTGCAAATATCATTACTAGTACCCTTAAAATATGTTTTGTGCATGTCACAAGAGTGGGAAAAGTCCAAGCCTGCTCTCATTGGACCCTCAGATTTATCTTTAATCTACAGATCAAATGTTCTTAAAAAAAGACTTTCTTCATTCAACAACTATGCTCCAACTTTGCCATTTCTATTTGTCTATCTTTACCTTATGATCTTCTGAATTTTCTCCATCTTGTTTTGCACTACTGAGAGAAAGGTAATAGAAAAATAGATTTTACCACAACTATTACAACCAGAAAGAACTGGTTGGCCATATAACAGGAAAAAAAGTCAGGAAAAAAAGAATCAGATCAATTCTCTCTTGGGACAACTCAGTTGCATTCAAGTCACCTTTGTTTCTGGCTTTCCTCTTCCACATGTTTTTTGACTTCTTCTTCAAATCTTTTAATCTGTTCTGGTATGACACGATCTACAGCTGAGATCATACAGGGGAAAGGTATCAATAAGAACTTCTTTTCATTAAGAAATCTAAAAATCATTTTTTACATTTCTGAAGTAACCAAAATAACTAAAACCTCTCCTCTTTCAGACAACTTTACTCAAGATTCCTGGCCTCTGGTCACCCTAATGTCACCAATAAACCTAGCAACTCAGTATAAGCATTTTCCATTTCTACATGACAAAATTATCCCTGCTGGCCAGTAAAGTTTAAGAAATCAATTTTGCAACCTACCTGCTTTGAGTTTAGCCATTGGCTCTCTCAGTCTACCGGCCTAGACAGAAAAGAGAATTAGATTTCACTAGTCAATAAAAGTCAACAGCTTTGAAACAATCTCCCAACTAATAGACAATTTTAAAGGGAGTAAAAGGAAAACTGTCACCAACACCATTTGTATTACCAGATCATTCAACAAAAGTTTCTTTGCTCTCTTTATCAAAGTTTCCTTCGTGCATGGCAGATAGAAAGCTAAAAATTCATATATGCCCTGCAATGGAAGAGAAAAAAATTAGCCAAATTGATACATTACAGAGCATAGAATGAAAGACATTCTGGACTCAGGGTTCAACAACAACGGTACCTCACTAGCTACGGACTAGTAGAAATTAGGGTTTCGCTAGTGGTTTCCGATCTCCACAGGCCAGTTTGCATAGTAAACAAAGTGAAATTGTCGTAACATCTAAGATGTCACTAGTCACTTGGCTATATAAGTCAAAATGTCTGCGTTCAAGACCTGGTCCAGTCATTGCTTTGTGTTCTTGGGAAAAACACTTCACTCGTCCAATCTCTCTCTACACTCAAGAAATGGGGAATGAGAGATTGTCACCCCCTACTTACATTGTACTTCATGCTATGAAAATCACCTGACTCTACATTCTACAGAGCACAGACTCACATGTGTGTTTACAGCATGACTATAGACGGAAACTATCAATTCATAAAGGATATTGTCCCTCCACAACTGATGCAGAAGAACCATATACACTAAACAGTTTACAGGTTATGCTAAAAAAAAAACCACTGTAATTTGGAAGTTTTCTTACCGTTCGAACTTTGCTGCTAAGCGTTACTGATTTGGTTGCGAGTCTATAGAGGAGGTAAAGAAGATACAGGATTACTGTAAGAACACAACAAATATTATAGTGTTCCATCTATTTGTTGTGGCATACACTGTTTTAGTTTTTGTTTACCCATAGTTTAACCACCTTGGCAGTGAAAGGGTAAAAGAGAATTTATCAAAGCATTGATCAATTCTCAAACCTTTGTACTCTCTGAACACTGCTGAAAGAATACTCAAATAAAATGACACATATATGCATCCCAAATTTTCTAAGTGATTAAGTGTGAATTAAAAGGATGTTGACAACATTGAAAAAAAGACATTTGTACCAAACTATGGAATACTTACTCAAGTAACATATGGTTGACATCAGTGTTGAAAAACTTGCACTTCCCTTTCATACTTCCGCTTCCTGCCTGCTTTAGTCTCAATATACAACTCTCTACATCTGCCGGCAAACACTGAGGAAGATTTGGTTCTGTGCTTGGTTCTGCATTTGGTTCTACTGAGTTGCCCTCTGCAGGTTGGATTCCATTTTGCAACGAAGAAGAAGGTGAAGAACTAGCACCTTTATCAGTTGGTGCACTTCCTACATTTTCTGTCATTGCAACACTGCTGTCACCATTCACCAGAGTGGAAGTGCCTGGTTCAGTTTTAAGAGCTCCAAGATTGGTGACCTGTGGAGCATTTGGTAATTTGGCTGGAGATGAATGGTTTGTTATTGGACCATTTGCTCCTTGTGAATTCAGAGTAGGAGTTGAAGAAGAATTTAAAGAAGTAGCTGTGGAAGTTGCAGAAGCTTTTGCAGTGGTTGGAGATGATGACAAGTTTGAGTTGTTGGCACTCCCAATATTGTGCTTCTTTTTGGATTTCTTCTCTTTGTCCTTTTCACCACTGGAAAAATCGAATAAAAATATAGCATTACAGTACTGTAGAAAACAAAACCAGAAGCTTGGCTTAACACCACTGAAAATCCCTTCACAATGGCATATTTTGTTGCATGGCTCAATTCAATCTCTATTTCAAGTCTAAACTCTTCCTTGCTTGATTTCATGAATGGCAAAATACTATAGTGCTAACTGGCATTAAACAAAAGCACTGCCATGAGATTGCGACAAAGACCCCTTTCTCCTCTCAGAGTTTTTGCTAACAGCATCACTCCTGAATCAAACATTAAGGTCGCAAGTATAATGAAAATGATCAGCAACTGCATAAACTCTTGATTTATAAGCAAATTCTCCTTGTCAGCACCTTAGGAAATGTATAGAGAACGGTGTGGAGAATATGCCTACTGGTGTTATGTTTTAAGGGTGCCAGTGCTTTATTTGATAAGCTGAATGATACTTCCATTTTGTTTGCTTCTCAGTCATGATCTATTGGAGGACAGAGGCATAAATGACATTGCCATTCACAATGTTTTGCTTTGTTCTCAATTTAACAAATAGATTCCATGTTGCTCTGGGTCTCACAGAAGATACTAAAATGTGGTAAGAACATCAATAACATTCTAGGCCATGCATCATGCACACATGAGCTTGTCTGTGATCTATTATTGAGCAGACACAGGGCAACATGAAATCTGTCACTAATTAGATGAATTATAAGTAATTATCAGTGTATTATGAAGACCTCAGTGAGTAGGAAAAGATACAAAATGTCATAGCTGAGAATACTGCATTGACAGATAGCCAGAAAAGTCTGAATGTGAATGAGACACCACAAATGAATGAGACACTAAGAAAAGAGGAACCAATAATGACACAAAAAATCAGTTTGAGGGGGACGTATTAATATTAACATCTGACAGTACCTTGAGCTCTTCCGTGGTTTCTTTTCCTTGTCTGATTTTTTCCTTTCTTTCTTTTCACTAGGGTCCTTCACTTTCTTGACTTTAGGCACTTTGGGAATTTTCTTATAGAAAGACACATATCTATCAAAATTATCACTAGAAATGTGCTGTGCAATCTTTAAGAGATTAGATTTTTTTGTCTCACCATTTAAGACATGAAATCTTTTTTATTAAAGTAAGCATAAAATTGCCGTCTTTTTCACTCACACACAACACTCATTGTCACTTATAGCTTGGGAGTAGAGTAGTACCCAATTATTTTTAAAATGTGAGCCATTCAGGTATAATTAATGATAGATGTTACTACCTTAGGAGATTTAAGCTTAACCTTCTTTGCTTTCTTAAAGTCTTCTTCATCACTGAAATTCAAAGTTCAAAAACATTAGTATTATGTTGCTGTACAACACACCACCACTTGTTGCCTATTTTTTTCATTTTTGCCACAAAGACCAAAATGGTCATGTATACAGCTTACGCTTTTATAACTGACATCAAAAACACCATTTATTACAGCTAGGTATGTGCTAGATAATTTTTTTATTACCTATCACCTCCTGGGGATGCAGGTCTGAAGTTCAATGTACCCTGATTAATATAGAAGCCACCATGCTCTGTTGTCCAGTCAGCCGGTAGCAGCTCATCATACTAAAACAATAAACAAGAGAAACTAAAATCTACAGCTCTTTAAAAACCTGAGAACAGTAAAATCACATCCACAGATTCAGAGCAACTAATCAATCTCATCCTTAAAGCCTTGATTCTTTCTTGGAGAACTAAGAACCAACAAGGTCTCACAGGTAGTTAACACTTTATTAAAAAAAGAAAAAAGACGAGAAAAGACGAGAAAAGCATAGCGACATACAATGTGCTAGCTCCTGTAGTGCATATACTCAAAAATGCTATGACTATAGCTCTTAATTTAACTGAAGTAATGGCCAAAAGGACTTAAGTTCCAGATGGTTATAATAATTCCTCACTACTGAACACTGTAAGGTACAAAATCATGTACGCTTCCAGCAACACACCCACATATTTGGTCCATGTCACAGCAACACTTAAGTTCCACTAATTCTTAACCCTTCAATGTTATGAGTGACCAAAACAGAGTTTCTCCATATAAAATCGATACAATATCAAGTAAGTGAGTGATGAGAATTAAAAAAGTGTCAATAGTGGGATTCTTGGAAGATCCACCACCAAGTTCTCCAAACTAAAATCATTAGAATTGTATAGCAGACAGAAAGGAGAATTACTAAATAAATGAGATCTACCAGTAAAAGGATTAACAGATTGAAATAAATTACAACAAATTGGTTGAACCCAGAGCTAAAACTTGATTGTGAAGCACGTGAAAATTTTCCTGAAAAGTTCTATTGCTTGTGCAAGCTGATGCTTTGACCTGAGAAAAAATCTTCATCAATGGACTCTGACCATTACTTCAACTCATGTTTTGAAAAAAATCAGGAACTGTCCCTAACAGCAGTTTCTTCCAAGAATACTTACACTTAGAAAATCATAACACAAGATCGGAAGTAGAATGATAGGGAAGGAGAACATTGCACTGCAACAATCCCATTTTTTTAAGTGAAATAACTTAAAAGGTCAAGGCATAACTCACAGCCTCACTATCATCGACAAAAGGGTCTGTCTCGTCATAACCATAAGTGACATCAATCAAATCCTATAAAATAAACGACAATAGAAGCATTATAAGAGGTATTTTCAGAGAGTCCTGGAGTCCCAGTGATCATCTAGTAAATTAAAGCAACAACTGGATCTTTACGTATGATGCACGATCCTCGCAGTAGAGAGCGCTCTTTAAGCAATAGCGAAAATCAGACCTGAAAAAATCAGGCCTGTACAGGATTCGAACCACTGACCTCTGCAATACTAGTGCAGCGCTCTACCAACTGAGCTAACAAGCCAACTGGGAGCAGGCCGTTAAGTTGATTCGTAATAAACCCGTGATGATAAATCAGATACAATGTACAAATGAACTGGATCTTTATTTATTCTAGATCTGGTACAAATACATTCAGGGTTGTCAAAAGATTTTAGTAACCAGACTATGATACAAAGTAATCAGTACCAAAAACAGTTTTATTTTGATCAATGTCATGCTTCTACGCCGACAATTGAGCCACAAGCATTGGCAATAACTAGGCTATTTTTCAGAGTAGAAGGTGAAATGTGCCGATTGCTGGCTTATTTTGACAACCCTGATATTTACAGGAGCTACCCCATGTTTATTCGAACTGTCTTTGGGGATCAATTAAATTGTGACATTGATTGAAGAAAACCTTCATTTGATTGTTTGCCAGGATGGAAATAGACCAAAGAGGCAAGAATAAAAATCAAATTGAGCCGTCGTTGTCAAGGATGAAAAAGGAGTATATGAAATTACATGACACACTTGAAAAATATAGGCCATGGCATGTCTTTTGCCATTACACATTCCAATCCATACAGTAATTTATGGTGTCAGATCTAAAGCAAGCCACTGCAAGATTGGTGCAGTTTGAAAGATGTCCCCACTTGGAGAAGAGAGGGAAATTGTAGTACGCTTAAGATGCACTGACAGCCAACACTTCTGCTAGCTATCTACCTCTGAATCATTTGCTACTTCAATTAGTCAGAGCAGTGAAATAACTTTCATTATCTGAAATAAAAGTTAATTCTTGCCAGCTAGTGCTGACCACTAGCAAATCCATGGAGAACACTAGACAACTGCCTTCCTTCCCAACACAAAGACCCCGGTAAGGGTTTGACAAAATACTTAGACCACCGGAACACTAACTAAGGGCATGAGACTCCTACAATAAAATAACTGACATCTAACTTAATGCCGTGGACAGCATAAACATGATCTGTTACAGTTAGGGGGTTGACCTCAGTGAAATTACATCACAACAACAGGTAGAAATAAGAGTTACGAATTGTCTCACAACACAAAACTGGAAACAAGTCAAGCTGTGCATATCGGTTTTGGTCTGATTTCAGAGTGACCCTTTGATTAAGTCAATCTATAACAAGACAGGGGCTGTCCACATTGCATATGATTGCAATAAAAGGACTTGCATTGCAACACAAGTTAAATATATATTTAAAAAAACTAGAAACAGATCAGTAGTTGATATTGTTAAATATTGTAACAAGGTGAACGAAAATGAAACCTATGGCAGAGAATTGGCAGTCTTGCAGTTCTTATTCCAGCAATCAGATTTTTAAATAAAGTAACCGGAAACAAAATTTAGGAACTCTTCAGTATTTCCTGTTCGATGGAAATCAATCGCAATCTTAGAATATTCTTAAAGGAAAGTAAAAACCAGCAGATATTGAGAACAAAATTTGTAATTACAATCAATATAGAAAAGATCCACGATTTGTAGGAAAAAAATCCTTGCGCGCATGGGAACTGTCCCGATTTTAGCCGGTAGCGTGTTTAACGACTACGAACACCCTTGTAAATAACGCAAATTTTTCGCGACGTATTTTATCACAAATTAACTGCCCTCTACAACTAATATACAAAAAAACACAATAGAAAAATCGTGCTTTATGAGGATTTCAGTGTTCCCTAAACAAAGACTTGTAGTTAAAACGTTTTAGGATCTTCGAAAAGGCAGTTAGGAACAAAACCAAGGTCATGTCAAAGAGACAATGAATTATTGGAGTAGCGTAAGCGCTACTCAAAACAAGTGGTTCGAATTATTTTGATTTCACGTTTACGACTGTGGCATCAATACGCCCTCATAAAACATTGGTTTAGTCCAATAAAAAATAAACTAAAGTCACAAGCAATTAGTGTCGTCTTAATCTCTGTCGCAGTACAAATGCCACACATAGGAGAACAACTAGTGAAGTTGCAAAGGAGCGCAACTCTAGCGGTGGTACACAAACGTTGGAAACAACACATTATATCAATGAGCAGTTTACAAGTATTTTGATTTACCTCCATCCGATCTTTCCTACGCTTTTTCGGTTTAGGGGCCTGTAAAAAAAAATCAACACGTTTTAGGTCTACAGTTTAAAATACTACAAAGACATAACATCGATCACACATTGCATTTTGCACGGTTTCACAGATCTGCGGTTTCTAAGGAATCTGTTGTACTAGTCAAAAAACTAATTGCACTTCACCGCGCTGCAAAACTTACATATTTCTCTTCAAACTTTTTGGCCAAAGCTTTTAGTTTTTCGTCGTCGTCTCCCTCATCGTCCCACGGAGGTTTATCCGGAGTACCATTGGTCTGCTCAAGGAAGAAAAAAAAAATCCCGCGAATTAAAAATCAGTAACACGTACTGCCAGCGACAGAAACAGCAACGACGTGCCTCAGTGATAAAACAGTTTCGGCTCTAAAGGGTAGCTTCGGAAGACGTAAACTTTACCCACCGTAGCGGCCTTTACGAGGTCCAGAAACGAAAACTCCGGGCACTTTTTCTCGTCGCTTTCCGTAAGGGAGAGCTCGAAGCGTAAGGTCTTGATGTTTTCTGAATTTTTCCCGAGTGCGTCCACTCTTTCCGAAGGAAACGGGTTAGCTTTTTCCATATTCCATCAAGAGAGAGCCGAAAACACGGTCCGCATCTCTGCACCCTTTGTTAAACCCCATAGAGGCAAACCTTATCCATCTTGAACTTGCCCGCTTCTCGCTCCAAAATTCAACACTTTGCACAACTGCGCATGCTTAGTGGCTAACTGCGCAGTCGCAGTGCGAATTTTGGTGGCACTGGCTTCGAAGTTTCTCTCTTAGCGAAAATTTCAGAGAATCTACAACAAATCGAGCAATCTTCCAAAATTCGATTTTTCACTCGGAATGGGCTGAAAACACAGAGAACGTGCCTAAAATGACCCAAATGCGAAGAAAACGCAAAAAAAATTATTCGGACGAATTTTAAAAATACGGTTTTCTGTTCCCCTAAACTGTCTAAAATCCCAAAATGTGGTCCTTTTTATGTCCAAAATGGCGAGAAACTCGAAAACGTGTACGAATCGGGCCGCTACGCCCCACCCGACGCTAAAGAACGCACATGTTTCCACAGAATCGCCAGCTTAACTACATTATGCAAAGCCCCCATTGTTTGCCCCTGATCAATTTTTCAGCGCTACATGTACCTGATACGCGCTTATGCTTGCGTGAAAAAAGCGCTTTTGTTGGCTGATCGCGGTTGAAAATGACAGATGCTCTACCAAACCCATCATTGTAATTGGACGCATTTCTGACAATGTTTACAGCTCAACGGAACAATACTGCGTGAAATTCACATCTCACTTCCGGTTCTCATTAGCTTTCCGCTGACAAATCACAGGCTCAGCTATGCGTGACAATAAAAAATGACGAAAAGTTAAGTTATGGCGGAAAATGTCTTAAGTTTTACTTTGGCAGAGACCGTGATTCTTCTCGAATTGTGACTTTCGTGACAAATTTAAAATGCCGTTTTCTTTGCATAGTCACAGTGGGCAGTTCTGTAAGCACGCTTTCTCTACTTTAGAAGAAGTTGTTCAAAGAGCAGTCGAAGTTGGTTTCACTCACTATGGCCTTTCTGAACACATGCCAAGATATGAAACCGAAGATCTATACGATGAAGAAACGGAGGTGAGTAAAGCTTCTGTACTGTGTAGAGAAGCTTTTGTCGAGAATTTAAATAGCTCTGAAACGCAAGAAACGTGAAACATAAAAAGGTCTGCTCTTTCGTTTTATCGAATTGTACGTAACTTACGATTTAGAGATCGAATAAATAATATCAGGGGTTCACGATGACTGGGGCAATCTTTGAAATCAGCTCTCTCAGAAGCCACATGTTAATGTTCTACGAGAAACTTTCCTAAAGGGACGTTCTCAGGATTCGAAAAAATTCTCCCTAATAAAGGTTTTAGTTTGACAGAAATCGCACATAATAAAGGTTAACTGCTTGTTTTTCTCAGTTGGAAGCAAAGATCGTTTCCCTTTCATTGAGTTTCCTTAAAAGAGATGAAATAATATAAGGCCATCCTTATAAAATGTTTTATTCCCTACTGTGCTGTTGAAAAAGCAAACATGGATGCAATGTGAAAAAAGGTGAAGTCTTTGCTCAGTTTCCTTAGCATGAAGCGACTAGGGGTACTCCCCCCTGGATGGGGTGCCAGTCTATCGCAAGGTTCTCGTCATTTTTTGTTTTAGGAAAAGTTGACACCCGCTGATCTCCAGAACATCTTTGAAGACTTTGTTAAGGAGGCCAGACGTCTTCAAGCAAAGTACAAAGACAAGATTCATCTCATTATTGGCTTTGAAACTGAGGTTATTAGAGAGGAAAGTTTTGATCAGATAAGAACATTAAAAAAACAACATGAATTGGACTATATTGTTGGATCAGTGCATCATGTAGATGGAATTCCTATAGACTTCAGCGACGAACTGTTTGATAAAGCTGAGAAACTTGCTGGGGGAACCGAAGAAGTAATGTTGAAGTACTTTGATCATCAGTATCAGCTGATAAAGAAATTAAAACCTGAGGTTATCGGCCACTTTGATGTTATCAGGAAATATCGACCTGAGGTTGAGTTTACAGATATCCTATGGGAAAAGATTGTTAGGAATGTACAACTGGGGATATCTTATGGAGCTCTGTTTGAGATCAATTGCAGTGGTGCATCACCAACAAAGAATCTTAAATGTCCATACCCACATCCAAGAATTATTGAGGTGAGAAAAGGAAAGCAAAACAGAAATTTAATACTACTGCCTTAACCTTTAAACTCCCATGAGTGTTCAAGACAGAATTTCCCTCCACAATATCTACATAATATCAAGCCGATAAGAGACCAGAATAAAGAAAACAACCTTTTACTTTTGCTATCAAATAAAGCAAATAGATTTCTATGTTGCTACTGGGTCTGTACAGGAATACTCTGCAGATCACAGATAATTTCAAAATGCCAAAAGGAGATCAGTGACACACTTGGTTCCACCTTGTGTGTCCCTTGTTTGTTCTTGATTTAATTTGAATTTGTGTGTTATTTATTACTGAACAGATGCATGGGGACATGGAATCTATCTGTTAAATAGTGTATACCTCACTGACAATGGCTAGAAAATGTATAAAAAATAAAATTATAGAAACTTGGTTTGCACACAACCTAATGATGACATTTTAAGTGGAAAAGAAATCACTCAAAGAGACTATCTTTTCATCCTCTTTGTCTGGCCATTGTACAAGTGCATTCCCTAATTGCATTTTGCCATCACTTTTTCTTGTTGTAGCACACATATTCAAATGTAATATAGTGTTGTGTCATGCATGTAAAAGCCATTTGCCCTGACGGTTTGTGAATGTGGGGCAGAAATATGGGTGTGGGATAGAAACATTATTTTTCTCTTTATTTATTCTTACTTTACAAGAACTAAAGAAGAGAAATCTTACAAGTACTGAAATGAGTTAAAATGTGGCCCAATCAGGAATTGATCCCAGTTCACCACACATTATTTGTAATGCTAACACTACTTGCTATACCAACTCCACTTACAATACAAAAATCATTTACAACTGATTACAAAAGTAATAAAGTTACCTCTGATAAAGGACTAACTTGACTCTCAAAACTTGAATTACACCCACTTATGTAATGTTACTAACACATTTTTTAATATTTTTATTTAATCTTCAATAAATAATTCCTTATAAAAAACTCCAAAAATGCAAGGACACAAACTTTGCATGGACACAAACTTTGCATGAACCACATATGACACAAACCCTTCAAGCCTTCTGTTCTCTTGGAGATGAATCTATTCTATCTATAGACACATATCAACATTGCAGACTAGCTTTACTCATTTTGATCTCAACTTGTATTGTAAGTTACGGCCTCCCGGTTAGCTCAATTGGTTAGAGCTCCGGATTGTGTTGTGTGGGAGGTTGAGGGTTCGAGCCCTGGCCGGACCAATACTCATGGTCTTAAAATAAGTGAGGAGAATTTGCTACCTTTCTATAATCAAGAAATGGATAGATATTCTAGTCTTCTCGGATAAGGACGAATAAATCGTAAGCCCCGTATCCTGGCAGGGTTAGGGGTAGGAGACGTTAATTTTCCACGCACAAGATTACTGTGTGGTGGATGTCCTCCCCTGGGTGGGATGGGTGGGTGTTGACCCTGAAAAGCCCCTATGGGGAGTGGTCAATTAACCTATGTATGTATGTATTGTGAAGAACAGCTCCTCTCTACTTTTGCCCAATTTTCAACCTACAGCAAAACAACAGGCCACTGACATATAACAGACAAGCTACTGACAGGTTATCAGTTGCCATTTCTCTTATTTTTTCTATTGGCCACTGCATCAAAAAGCCTCCCTTACTAAGAATTTATGCAATCTTCCTGTTTTCCTCATAGCATTTAGTGACATCTGGGGCTAAATTGACTGTATCAGATGATTCACATGGAACAGGTGATGTTGGTTTCTGGTTCAAAAACTTGCCGCAGTACTTAGCTACTTATGGGATCAGTGAACTTTACTATCTGGAGAGAGCATTGATGAGCAGTGGCTCAACAGGGCAAGAAAACAGAGTTGTGTGTAAGAAGCTCACAGACTGTTGGAGACATCCATTTTGGGAAAAATGTTCTGAAACTGTAGAAAACAACAAATGATAACTTGTATTTTGCCGTAGAGGTAATCTTATCCATTTTTTTTTGGAGGGGGGGGGTGAACTGTTAAACTCACTGAAGACATAGTATACTGTCTCTACTTAACAAATATATTCCACATTGCCATGCTTTGGTTCAGTAATTGAACAAAGATGACATTAAAATGTATTGAGAACAAAAAAGTGAAATGTGAGACAGCCGAGTATATCAGTTCTATTCTTTCCACATTTCGGTGTCTTCTATGATCTATTGCTGTACAGACCAATAGCAATGTGGAATATATTTATTTTTTATACAAAGAAAAGCAAAACGAATGTAATTAATGGTGATGTCATCAAAATGGGTGTACAATTCAGCTTATTAATATGTAACTTATAATCAATACTTTTGGATTTAGCAAACAGATGATTAGTAAAATGAGGGCTGTTTGAGTGTGTGTGTGTGTGTGTTTATGTGTGTCAGCCACACAGTTTTATTGACAATTAACTGCCTCCCGGTTAGCTCAATGGATAGAGCGCTGGACTGTTGTGCGGGAGGTCAGAGAGTTCGAGCCCTGGCCGGACCAACACTCAGGGTCTTAAAATAATTGAGAAGAATTTGCTGCCTTTCTATAACATCAAGAAATGGTTAGATATTGTAGTCTTCTCGGATAGGGATGAATAAATGGAGGTCCCGTCTCCTGCAGGGTTGGGGTAGGAGACGTTAATTTCCCACACACGAGATTACTGTGTGATGGATGTCCTCTCCTGGGGTGGGATGGGTGTGTTTATTGGGTCCGCAGTAATTGGCGCAAGCTGTTGCGGTGTCTCTGCCGGTTGGCGAAGCGATTAAATTAAATTAAATGAATGTGCCTCATGAAACTTAATTTATTGTCTACAAGAGCTGTGGATTAAATCACCTGACCAAAAGGAGATTGGGTTCTAGATTGAGCAACAAGCAAAGAGCATTTTGTTGATCACAAAACAAGGATAAGATAGGGTTGATGCATGATAAAAATAATGAAGAAAATTGAAGAAAATTTGTGACTTATGAAAGTTTTTTGGGGGTAAAGTTCTTCAATCTTTCATGTAGTTGAAAAAATTTTCCTCCAAAAAAATTTGATATAATTTAAGCTTCTTCAAGCCTTCTATTTTAATTTTAACTCACATGTTTATACACATATAAACATATTTTGATGGTGTTTCTAGTAACTAATATTCCCTGCCTCTAAGCAATATTAAAGCCCTAAAAGGGAGCAAGTTTCTCTTATGTGAAACTAAAAATTGAAGTCAGCAGTTATTTATTAGGATTTTAATGCTATTTACATCTTGATTTAGTGATACATCATTTAAAAAGTTCAATAAAAATCTACTATGTATAAAAAATCCATTTTTTCTCCAAAAAAACCCTCGTTTTTATGCTACTTCCATGTAATTTTGTACACAACCCAACCCCACCTCCCCTCCCCATCCATTCACAATATTACTATTACTGTTACCGGTCTTAAAACGAAGACGAAGCCTCGCAGATATTGCCCGATCAAAGCGAAGTCAAATTCGGCAAGTCTTTACACTGGCTGAAAGATAACGACTTGATGGATGGTATGCAAAAAATAGGAAAAAATGGGGAGGAGGAGATATGGTTGGGGAAAAATTGGGGAGGGGGGGTGAAAAAGTATATTAAATTTTCCACCCCTTTATCAAAGAGTCAATGCGTTCAAGAAACTTTTGTGCGACCTGAAAAATAGCTGTCTTTACTAATGGAAACTCCGCGAAACCGTAAGAACACTTTTGTTGGCTAACTAACTAGATAAAATGGGCAAGAGTTGCAGAAGAGTGTAGAAGCGGGAGTACAGCGCACCTGACGCTTTTTCTGACATTAATCACTCGTATGAATCCTGCTGACGTACTTCCTTCTGACGCAACTTTAGATTGTATTTCGATAGTATTCGCGGATTATTCGGGACTGCATCCGTTTTGTTTTGCCTGACTTCGTTCTGTGTGTGATCCAGGAAACTCAAGACACCCACGACCAATCAGGTGCTGAACTAAAACTTATCGAAACGAGGTCGCACGCCCGTTTTCTCCCCACGTATTTCTGAAACCTGAATGGGCCAATTTTTTAACCTAACTTGTCATAATACGGAAAAAAAATTCAGCGTGCTTCAGTGCCCCTCTAAGTTACCCGTCAAGGCCTCTAACGATTTTAACACAATCGTCCAAAAGAAACTTCCTTCTGCGTTACAAAATTTTTTCTCTTCTTTTTACAAAAGATTGAGTCCTACTCCACCCTCCGTATCTGCATGCTCCTCGCCGTTAGGCGAAGGTTTTGTATTCTCGTAAACTGGCTCCTTCGGCTCGAGGGTCTCATATAAGTTTTCTGCGGGCGGTAGATTCATATTCACGTACGTACTGCCATCAGAGAGATCCTTGGGTCTTTTATAGAAGTCATCCATCGCAGCTACTTCTCTGGGTATTTTGTAATGACCTTCGTCCGGAGAAGCCTGGGCCTGAGACTTCTCGCGCGTGGCTTCACGTGCAGCGTTGATTTGATCTTGCGTGACGTAACGTTCTTCACTGTCACTTTTCCCGTCATCGGGCGCGCATCCAACTTTACTAAGGGACCCAATACTGTCGTACAATCCCGCAGAAGACCCCTCGTCGAGTTTACTCTGCTCTAAATTCAAATCAACTCGCAAAAGATCGCATTTGTCTGAATAACCGGAAGCCATCATAGGGATATCTTCCATCGCGGCGCTCGGTAATGTTCCATTTAGTTCCTCTACAAGAATTTCAGGTTGATCTGGTTCGTCTTCAGCAGGTAACAACCCCTCGGTCATGGAGTCTCCACGTACGGTGGATGCCGCAGAAGGGGGTTCATATCGGACGCTATACGCTCCTCTTGTAACCATATCTCTTGACCTCTTTGGCATGCTGCCATTTTGAAGCAGTTGTCGTCTTTTGCGGGAACGTTTCCGCGCAAACGCGACGAAAATTACGAATATGATGACCAGGAGAAAAGCGCCTCCTACAGGCGCACCGATTATGAGAATTTTGTTCAGCATGTTGTCCTTAGCTGTCTCGTTGGCTGAAAATTAAGCAGTGGAAACTGTATGAGTTATTTTCTATTCATATGAAATTTGTTTTAATATCGAACAGTGAACTTTGAGGTAGACATGCAAATTAAAATAGATTGACTTCGATCAGTTCTCCAACTTAGAAACCAAAACCAAACTAAGCAGAAGAAAGGAAAATGCCCTTATCAGCCAAAGAGAAAAAGCAAACTGCCTAAAGCGCGGGAAAACGCGGGTGACCGAGTAACGATTAAATTTCTTTTACATTTGATTGGTTGAGAGGATGCCGCAAGTTTTCTGGACCAATCACAGAGCGAAGCAATCCCGGATCACTTTCGACACCAAATTGAAAGTTGCTCTAAATTGACAACTCACAAATTGGAAACGATCTGCAGCATAATCTGTCACATGGTAGCTAAGACAAAACTGCCCCCCCCCCCCACCTTACACAAACATACCTTGATCCATCTTAGCAACCACTGGTGTAAACGGCCCAGATGGATCTCTTGCTGTTACCTTCTCTGAGGAAACTGTTGGTTGAAGAGTTGCTACACTCCTTGGAAATGTCGGTTTGGTTTTCTTTGGCTCGGTGGGAAAAACAACTAGGATAGAGATGTACAGTTTAGTCCATACCAAAATTGGTTAGTTGTGTTGATTTTGTTGTTGTTGTTGTTATTTTAAAAATGTAGGAAAAGAAGGCCTACAATCATTTTCACTCTTTACTTAGTCTCCTAAATGGTTTGTGGACTAAGTGACGTCGTCAAGACAATAATTCCACCTCTCTTATCTGAAAAGACCCACAAAAATCTTACTCGCTCCCATTCTACTTTTAACGTTTTCTTACCGCCCGCTTAATGAAAGCAACTCAGCTGGAGGCGAGTCAAAGCTAAAACGAGAGAGCTCCTGAAGGGAAGGTCGCTTTCTGTAAGTACGAATTCTTACGAATCTATTACATTCTCAAATAACAGCTCTACGTCACGGTGTATAGGGCATAACTCAACAATTGTTAGGCTTTCTTTTGGAACACTTGTTACTGTTTCCACATGCACATTCACTGTTTTGGTAAACTTGGTCGGGGTTCTTTGCGTCATTTTTGTTGCAACTGTGGGTTATAATAGATCACAGTTTTACATTTGTACCTCTCTCTTACGACACTTGGCAAGTCAAAGCTAAAACAGGAGAGCACCTAGAGGAGAGGTCACTTTCTGTAAGTAGAAATTCTCAAAAATCTCTGACGTTTTCAAACAACTCTTACACCTGTATAAGGCATAACTCACCAGTTGTCGTTAAGCTTTCTGTTGTAACCTCTCCCACTGTTTCCATATGTACAGTCACATTTTTGGTAGACGTGATCGGCGTACTTCGCGTCGTTTCTGGGGCAACTGTGGGTTACATCAGATCACAGATTACATTCGTGCCTCTTTCTTAGGACACTGTTGGTCTTCTATCGTGTTCGTCAACGAACTTACGTGAGAATTTTTGCAATCGTGTAGAAGTGCAGACTGTAGTGTTAAATTTTCTAGATGCTATTTATTCAGAAGAGGATGAACACTTTTTAAAGCACCAAAACAGACTCCAAGCGTGCGAAAATTTTTGCTGAAAAAATAACGTCTTCTTACTCTTTTCTCATTTGCGTAATTGCTCTCACACTTTTCTTTCTGTCTATAAATGCTTCACTAATGCTAGTCTCTTCCATATTTAATGAAGATTACAGGATTTCATCGAAGAGCTATTTTTCTCTTCTTAAGTAGTAACAAGTGATGAACACAGCGGTCGAACGTAGGGCATGCGCAAGAGGATCAATTTTGATCAGCCGCGCGCCAATTTCTCGCCCAAACCTGGAACTTACAAAGGAAAGTAGAAGACACAACCACTGTCACGATAAACATGCAAAAAGAAAATGATCTATGCGTCTATGTGATCTATAAAAGGAACCAAAAGTAGGGAAAAGAAAAACAAACTTGAGACTTTTCATACACAAAAACTGGTTTCCTGCTGATTTACCATTTTCTATTTGAGGTTTAAAAAGTTTAAAAAGTTGCGCGGTTTTCTAACACCGCGACTTACTTTCTCGTGTGGTTGTTTGTAAGACAACTTGGTTTTGACGCGTCACCTAGCCAAGTTTGACCGCTGTGTTTGAGTGTTGAAACAATACTCACTTGTGGTTGACTTTTGTGGAGCAGTTTTACGTGTAGTTGCGGTGGATGAGCCTCCGGTAACAACCCTTTTAATCGGTCGAGACTTTATTCCTGAACCAATCATCGTATATCCCGCTACTCTGACAGAATATTGCTTTCCGCTCACAAGACCTCGTAGTTCGTGGGAATAGACTAGTTTTGCATCGTATCTGGACCAGCTACTCGATTCACAAGCAGTCTGTTCACAGTAAAATACGACAAAGCCCAAAATGACGCCATTTTGACCATTCTCAGGGATTGAACCCCATGAGACCGTTATCGAGGAAGATGTATTAGAAACGGCTTGAACATTTCTTGGTGGTTGGCTCGGTCCTAGAATAGGAAAGATCCCATAATAATGGCATTAGAATGCTTGCATTTAGGATGGCGCTGATGTGCGTTAACCAAACTTTTTGAAATACGCCCAAGATATTTGTGTTCGCACCGCGAACAGAGTGGAGGGTTGTTTAAGGCCAGTTTGTTGGTTTTGCTTATTTTAACATTTACGATGTGGGAGGTAATTTTCGTGCAAATTTCGAAAGTGACTGAAGTTTACGCATGTGTGCGTCGACCTACTTGATTCATTTGTTTGCAGGATTATGGAGTCTGACCAGTCGCCAATCATTTCTGGTTCTAAGGTCTTCACAGCCCTGACTTTTATCTGATATCTTGAGACCGCAGCAAGACTGCGTAGACGATATCTCTCTGTAGAACTTTGACTTTGCCTGTTGGCACTGTCTTTGAGGTCCTTGTAGCTGATTTGATATTTTATTGTAGAAGAATCCGTAATCCCACTCGTAGTTGTTGTCGGCTTGTCCCACGTTAATGTTACCTGGTATTTGAATCCTAATAACCAGCTATTAGTCATCAAATTGGTGGGTTTCGCTGGAACTGTAGAGATGGAAAGATTTACAACGTTTCACAGGTGTAAGCTAAAGGTCGCTTTGATATTTATCTTTTACGTAGAAACCTTTCCATGCGTGTGTCACGTGACCTTTTCAATCACAAAACCTGCTCATGGGTCAAAATGGATGGGCTTCTTGTATTTATGGGCATATCAGATTTTTTTCTTTGTTATTGTTATTGTTTGTTGTTGTTGTTGTTGTTTGTTTATTATAACCGAAGTGAAGGGGAGGAAAGTGTTTTCTAATTGGGGGAGGTGTCCCCGTCTTACTGGTACTTGGGTCATTTTTGGTTGTTACTTCTGTCATAGTAAATTGTCATTTTTTCTTCTTAAAAGGGAGGTCAAAAGCGCCCTATAACCCCTCTTCATTAACCACGCCCTTGGAAAACTTACCTAAGTTGTTTGTGTCAACAAGCAAACTGGTCCAATCGCTTTTGACTTGGTGATCCTTCCTGTGAAAGGCCTGTACATGAATTCTATACTGCTTCTTAAAAACTAAATCAAGCTGAGCATTCTCTGCTGGTACGATCTTCCGGTTCCCGGAAATATCTCCAACAGCTCTATATGATACAGTATAGGACAGTGTGGAGTTGTCTATTGTGCCTGCGGTCGTCAGCGGTCTTGTCCATTGCAGCGTGATCGAAAGGTCATGAACACGTGAAACGTGAAGGTCTGTTGGTTGACCTGGAGCTAATAAAAAAAAATTTTCTTAGATCGTGAAATTAGTACCATCCTCTTTAAAGGTCAACGCTTTAGACAATCTTGTGTGCAAGACAAACGAGGATGATTTATTAAAAAAAAAATGCTTCTCAGGCGCAATAACGTACAAGACTTTACGTTTATGTTCCTTCTAGCAATATAATTATGCCAATTTGATTATGGATCTACCGCGACGAATGATCAAAATGATCAAGTTGGTTTGTTTAAGCCAAAACCGTACTCACATTGTGTCGGTTTACCATCGAAAACACCCCGGTAAGATGGTGAAAAATAGTAGAAAAGTTTTTGTGTTTTATCGTCAGTAAACCGACTGAAAGTGAAGTATGTTGCTGCCCTAATGAGATTGTGATACGCCTCAGCTTTACACGCATTTACCGTTGTAATAAAAGACAGTTTTCTTTTAAAAATGAGAGCGCGTGTAATATTTATTTGCTGAAGTATTTGACTTAGAAGTAGCATCAGCTTTTTTCCATTGTACCGTGTCAAAGGGGACAATACACTTTCTGAGTATTTCGTTATTCGCTGCCTAATTTCTTTACTGGGGATATAAGATTATACTCTGAAGAATTTAGGACTTAAATACTCGACTTAGCATCTGTAGACGCACGTAATCCTCACTTCATAAGTTGCTGCTTACATCCATGCGAATTTCGTACCTTTGATTTGTTTGTTGTTCACGACTTGCTCTGAGAAATTATGTCAAGCAATTCTGATCGATAGCGACTTGGTAAGTTTAAAAAAAATTTCCAATAATCGACTGTAACCCAGGACTGCCCTGGTTTTTATTAACTTCGTTATTCGACAAGTTTAGAAATCTGGCGCCACTCTTCCGACCAATCAGATGGCCGTTAAATTGTGACTATGTCACTCGCGCGTTTTTCCCGTGCTTCAGACATTTTGCTTGCGGTTTACTTTGAGTTCCCATCAGCCCCTTGCGATATTTTACTCTGATTCGATTGGTTGTTGTAATGACTTTAGTTTAACTCAATCACTGACTGTTCTTTTAAAACTAAAATACAGTCCTGACTGCGGGCACATCGCGCCCATAAAGGAATGGCAATTCCTTGTTAATGCCTATTAGCAATCCTCTTAAGAAAAGGCGATTTTATCCATTGTAAGCTTAGCTTTTCTTCCGTCGACGTCTCGAGACTTCCTCTCTTTTTGCCTCGTGATCGTATCTCTAATGAAAAGTGCTTTACAAAGATATCAGAGGACGGTTTAAAAATAAACTGATTAATTGAAAGTAAAAGAAGTGATTTGAAAGAAAATCCAGCTTTCTTAAAGATCATACACGGATGAACTTGATAATTTGTGATTACATGAATATAGATTCCTTCTTTCGATATTCTCGAACGGATTTAGCTATAGGCAAGGTTTTACAAGTATCTACATGTTCTTGAGCAGATAACAACAGCCTTTTAGCCAAAAAAATCCTTTTTAGTTGCCTCAGTACATCCTTATTAAGACCACTTCTTTCAATTTTTTTTCGATTTGACAGCTAAAATTTAACCGAAATGAAGTATGAGCTTTCCTCTCATTTTTTGTGAGTACAATTTTAAGCAAATATATATTGTGCTTTTAACCCTAAATAAGTCTTTAAGCTAATTACAAAGTCGATCAATAGCATATCAATTGTTGTAAATGAACTACAAAAGTAAATAACGCCAATCAATGTATGATTTTCTCTTAATTCACTTTACAAATAACTTATTTCTTAAAAGGCTAATTACGTTGGCAAGGAATTGGTTCACTTTTGCACATAACAGACTGAAAAAAAAATAAGAGTCTCTCTTGCTTTTCGTTAGCGCAATATGTTTATGGGCAGCGCTCTAGGAAGTCGATGAGAGGACAGGACACATAAATTAATACAGTAAGGTCAAATAACTTCGAACCTCAGCGATAACACAATTTGATAAATTAGTCCAGTTTCAAAACATGCCAATGGGAACTACATGCTGACAATATGTTCCTTGTATCGACCAGTTGACGAGTACAAACCAGTTCTCGAGGGAGAAGTCCTGAACAGAAAGCCGCATCATGGTACTTATGATCAAGTTGGAAATTGGTTAGAGTATTTTGAAGGGAGGGGAAGCTTTTGTTATCTAAGCAAAAAATAATATATTTGTAATCAGTCACATAGTTCGACGCCTTTTTCTCTCTTTTTTCTCGTCTTTTTAGGCAACAATTTGTGAGAATTCTACGCTCTATGCAATACACCCGTCATTTATGATTATCAACAACGTCGGGTATACAAGACTTAGTCAGCAACACTGATCTGTTGTGAAGTATCTGAAATAATTGTGGTTTATCTATTGTTGGACAACTGAAAAAGTATTGTGTTTTCTAAAATTCAAATGAAAGTGAGAGGAAACATGCCAAAAACTAACTGCAACAAGCTTAAACGAACTGAAGCAATATCAAAAACCACTTAGAGCGAAAGGTCATGATGAAACTCACAAATAAATATTCCAGCGATCTCTGAGGTAAATCCGATTGGGAATGTTAAATCTTTCATTTAGTTTCGGCTTTCTTTAGCAATCACGAAACACATTATCTTAACAAGCTAGTGATAAATAGTCGCTTTCACCCTAGATAGGGACAGAGTAATTTTGTAAAAACTTACTGCTCGAAGCTGAGCTTATTCCAGCCAGGTTTATCAGAGCCCAGGTCAAATGTAAGATCAAGAAACATCTACTAAACCCAAACATGTTCACTGGTGATATTTTATCTCGTTTCCCTCGCTGTGATTTACGATGGTGACCGACACGTCGTGATGTTTGGGCTGAAACCAAGAAGCCACAGAATTAACGACAATTTATGAGAACGTCCGGTTTTGTAGTTCCTGTTATTATGATGCGGTAAAAAGTGGAACAGCTTGAGTTGTAATTGGAAGCCTACGTGCGGACTGAAACCTGAGGAGACAATAAAAAGGAACATGTGAGAATGTTTTGGCAGAAGTGCCAAGAAATCATCAAAAGTTTCGAGTTGCACGTCTTTCATCACTGATATTAGCCCAACTTCTCTCGGAGTCGTTTATAATGAATTTTGTAGCCCAAAATATACGCTAACATAAATCTCTTTCCAAGAGGTCTTCAGATTTTAGCTGCACAGATGCGCTTGGGCGGTTTCATAAGGGACCCCCATATTTCTCTACACCCCTCACCCCCGCCTAAGATTATTTTATAGACAAAGGTCTTTCTTTTGAATCATCGAAGAATTCCAAGAATATTAAGATGTTATGGGTGAAGAGTGAGGTTGCGTTCTGCCAAAAAAAAAAGTTTCTCCCCTCCTGAATTTTCTGGATCAGGATCGAGATACAAGAACAAGCAGTAAAAGACACCAATTTCTCGCTTTCACGAACCAGGATCAATCTTTTTTTACCGATTTTGACGCCCCTTGTCCAATGTACTTCCTGTGATGTTGTTAGTTAGATGGAAGAAGAACTTCCGATGTATGGCCAAAACATGAAATGGGTTCAAACATGACGTGAGCTACAACAGCCAACGGTAATAAAAACAAATTCTGATTTCATTCGCTCTTCTTATAATCCAAAAATAACCCAAAAGAATAACCGAAATGCGCAACAAAATTTCTTGTACTCAGCTCGTGCAAAAAATTAATTCAAGTGCGAAAAGAGGCTGAAAGAAGACGGGAATAAGACGACCTTTTCCTGTTTGCCATTACCCTGCGAGCAGAGTTCCCTTCGATTTTCCTAGAAAAGTTGGCAGCAGGAAGAGGCTCTTCCTCTTCCAAACGTTTCTAAGAAGATCGTAAACGTTATTCTCAACCTCTTTAATTTATGTCACAGTTGCAACATGTCTTTGCATATTAAATTGGCACGCTTACTATGTTTATAAACTTGATGGAACGTGCTTTGTTCCTACTATAATTTCATGCAGTTCGCGCTAAAAATATAATTATTCATAGTGTGCGAGAGTGCGGAAAATTAGACCTTTGAGTCGTTGAAGAAACTTCTCTCTTAAAAGAAAGCTTGTCTTTCCGAATACTTCTTCATGTTTAAAGCAAGAAAAGCCCCACATGAGGAAACAATCACATTCCGCTCATCAAGCTGAAGCAGGATTAAAGGCCTCGATTTTATTTTCTTGTAGAAACTTCAGGGTTCTCAGTTCAGCTAGTCATAAACCACATGAAGACGCCCCCACCTTTCCCTTCTTCCCTCGTGCTGAAGCTGTTTTATTCCCATCCCCCAGCCCAACTCTCTACCTTAAAAACGTGCGTAAAATTCGGCGAGCTAAACCTTCCCTTGTTTTCAGGCTGTTGCTATCAAACTACACCGGAGAGACCCTCCCCCGCACGAAACTTTTTCTGCATCGCAGAACGAGTTCTTACTTCGTAATTTACGTGCATGATTTGAAATAAGAGTGAACCATTCATCTCAATAACATTTTGCAGAAAATTGGATTTTCGTGCTCAAACTTTTCGGCGCTGCCTAATGAACCAAATCGACTCAAGTCCTCTTATCTGTATAAACAAGATATTTCAATTGGCGAAAGGTCTGTCATCGACACGAATAAGAGCGCTAACATGATGTCGAATTATCTTCTCATTTAACATTATCTGACTAAAAACGGCTGGAGAATTGTAAATCACAATGATTTGTTATTTATCCGCGCATGAAAGTGTTTTGAAAGATAGTATTATCATTTGTGTTAATTAAACTTTTCTGTCCGTTGCGAGCATGATCCATGCCTGGCTGACAGACGAGCCAATCTCGTTCGCCATCATAGGTTCATCAGATACATTTAAACAGAGTTAAGGAAACAATACTTACAAATACACTGGGTCCTCTTTGGGTCCTCTTTATCAAACTTCTATCCTGAATCGAAGAAGGAAATCACTACGACGGGCTAAAATGCGTATGATCGGTTGTGAACAAGCGCGCTTCAGTGATTGTCCAAAGCCTCTGGAATGCTTTATGATGTAAGGTGACCTTTATCATACTGAGATCAACAAAACACGCGGCCAGGTTTTTTTGGCGGAAAGTTTCAACACCTCTGTGATATGTAAATCAAGATTATCCGCTTAGAATCCGTCAAAACTAAAGGGAGGAATGGATATAACTTCCGGTGCAAAAAGCAACGAAAAGATTGGAAGCAAGTCACCTTGCTTTTTAAAAATGACTTATCTGGTAATTTATAAAGGTGGAGTTTCTTGGCACTTTTTAAGGCACTTTTTAAGGCACTTTTTAAGGCACTTTTTAAGGCACTTTTTAAGGCACTTTTTAAGGCACTTTTTAAGGCACTTTTTAAGGCACTTTTTAAGGCACTTTTTAAGGCACTTTTTAAGGCACTTTTTAAGGCACTTTTTAAGGCACTTTTTAAGGCACTTTTTAAGGCACTTTTTAAGGCACTTTTTAAGGCACTTTTTAAGGCACTTTTTAAGGCACTTTTTAAGGCACTTTTTAAGGCACTTTTTAAGGTTATTGAGCTAACCGCCTCCCGGTTAGCTCAATGGATAGAGCGCTGGACTGTAGTGCGGGAGGTCGAGGGTTCGAGCCCCGGCCGGACCAACACTCAAGGTCTTAAAATAATTGAGAAGAATTTGCTACCTTTCTATAACATCAAGAAATGGTTAGATATTCTAGTCTTCTCGGATAGGGACGAATAAATGGAGGTCCCGTCTCCTGCAGGGTTGGGGCAGGAGACGTTAATTTCCCACACACGAGATTACTGTGTGATGGATGTCCTCCCCTGGGGTGGGATGGGTGGGTTAGGACAGCAGGTCCACATCAGCCATTACAGCTGCCAATTAATCAACCTGCTTAAACAAATAAATAAATGAACTTCAACTTCAAGGACACACATTAACAAGTCGAGAGTGTGACAGTGTGTGGAAATTAAAAAACCGTCAGTGCTGTCTACAAAAAGATAAACTTTTTCGCGCCGAGCAGCTCAAATTACCGGGGTTTCCAAGAAAGGCTATGAAAAGTGACAAAAAGTGTCTTACTACTCCCCTGGATGGGATGCCATTCCATCCCTCTTTCATCTCAGGCTGACAGCCGCTGTTAGCCCGCGCTAATCTTTCCATTCTCCCCCCCGGCCCCCTACTCTCCCCCTAACTCCACTGATAAGGGGAAGTGTCGAAGACCATGATCGCGTAGACGGCAAAAAATCGACCCTACCAAAAGGCCTACCGTATTTACTCGAATAAGCGCCGCGGCGCTTATTTAATTTTTCGCGCTACAATTGCGGCGCTTATTCGAGGGCAGCGCTTATTCGAGAGCGGCGCTTATTTAAAAATTGTACCAGACAAATTAATTACTTTTTCTATATTTTTATTCAACGGGACACTTTCTATCTATCAATTTCCCTATGAACTGATGCTAAACTGATAGTAAATATAGAATTACGAGAGGAATTCATGCGGTGAAAAAACCCCGAGCGTTTCATGATAACCCGAGCAGAGTAATACAGTCACTTAGAACTAAAGAAGATCACATAATCATTTAAAGAATATAAATTGCCGATGCTGTTTTGAAATAGCTATAGTATTTTTCCTGGTTATACAGAATTTCTCGCATAAGCTCCGCATCAGTGCTGCGGTGCTTATTCGAGGGCGACACTTAATCGAGGGCGGCGCTTATTCGAGTAAATACGGTACCCGTTTTCGGGCTTTCATGTATCAGTCGGTTGGACCGCGAAAAAGGGTGAGTAACATAAATAGTTATAATTACTGGAGCCCTACTAGAAATGCACCTATACCCAGTCTCCTCGCTTCCCCAGCCGCCACTTTTGATGATTATTCGAGTCAAAGTGGCAATGTAAACGTCGATGTTTTCGAGTCGAAACAAATAGCTTTTTAATGGCTAGTACGCCGGTTTATTCTTTACAATCAAGATAGCAGGATGGGATCTGTTGTTTCTAACATGTATGGAGGGCTACAGTACATGATGAGTTGCGGGGGAGACAATCAAACGTTCTCTGATAATGGCCGATCGTCTCTTGCCGCGACGCCATTTGTTTGGAAACGTACGAGGTATGTATTTCACTTTAATCGGTATTATTTCGTGTTGTTTCTCCTCGTACTAGTGTTTTGAATTCCTTGCGCAATTTTTGATTAACTAAATTAGAAATCGTCGCGAGGTGCACGTTTTTCGGAAAAAAACTGCGTTTCATCTGTCACAAGTTAACCTGGCACAACTAAAATGTAGTAAGCTCCATATCGTAGCTGAGGCCGGTCAAGTTGTCGTACTGTGTAAGAAAAAAAAATGTTACAGGTTTGATTTTCATCTCTGGAAATTAGATTGCGTTCTTGCTTCCTTTGTATTTGAAAGAAAAAACTAATTTAAGAGTGAACTAGTTTAATTAATCGGTAAATTAAGGGATACCAGAACACGACGTGATCTTTTGGTTAGTCTTCTGCGTCATAAAGTTCCTTATCGAGATTTTCTCTGCATTATACAAGAGGTCGACACTCACTTTATCGTATACTTTCTACCTTCTTACTCGGTCTGACTATTAGAATAATTTCCGTAACTACGTAAAGCGGCGAAACAGCTGTAAGCAGGCAATTTTGGTACAATTTTGGTTAGCCGCAAATTTCGCGACAGAAATATTTTACATGTGACAAGTTCAAAGAGGATCCCTAGCTAATCCACAGAATCGTGTATTTTTCTTTCATACAGCTCCATGTACTTTGATGAAGATGGGGATCTAGCTCATGAATTTTATGAAGAAGTTAAACCGAATAAGAAAGGGAAAAAGTATTTCATGAAGAAAGTTACGCGGCGCCTGTTACCTCAAGGACTGGTTGATTTACCATATCCAAGATTAAATGTGGATTTTCCAGTTGTTATGTGCGAGGCATATTAGAGAAATGACCTTCACATTTCAAAATCTAGCCTCAAATGAGATGAATATGGAATTTATCAAGAATCTTGCTAAACAGTTGAGTCATTCGCCAAGAAGACTTGCATGTAATTCAGAATGTTATCTGAAACATTTTGTTATTGACCACAGCGTTATTGCATTGTCAAGCCAGGTATCTTGTGCTCCTTCTTTCCTTGAGCTCACAGTCACTCATTAGAACAATTAACTAAACTGATAATGCCAACTGATGGCTTGTATCGGTGAAAACAGCATATGTTTAGCATAAGGCTGTGGCTAAGTGCTGGGCACAGACTTAAATGGACAAAGTGTTAGCGGTCAGAAATATTCATAGAATTTCCCCCGAAAGTTGCTTTCAAACTTCTAAAGAGTAATAGATGTTTGTTTAGAAATGGAAAGTGTTTCCATGTCACTTAGAAAACGATTCTGATCAGACTGCTAGGTAGGGTGTCAAATAAACAGTGCCTGGCACTCAGAATTTCTCCCCACATTCCCAGTGAAAACTTCCTTCAAGCCCAGTGAGATTAATCGATGTATGTTCAGAAATGCCAAGTGATTCTAAATATTGAATTGGTTGGAAGACGACAGATTTTCAAAGCCTGTACTTACCACAAAGTCTGTTCACAAATATTTTCCAAGTGTTGATGACCTAGTGATTTTACAGCAAGCACAAGAACAGAAAATTCTTCCACCAAAAAAAAAAAAAAAAAAAAAAANGTTTGGAACCCCTTGACATTTCAAAACAAACATCTGATACTCTTGAACCTTTCAGTGAAATTCTGTGAAAATCTGACTGCCAGGTATTTATTCCATTTAAGACTGTGACCACCTGCATGGCATTTATCTGCTATGTTTATATAATGGTTGTGGCACAGCATTGCTCACCTCCTCTCCAAATGAAATAATTCTCCATAGGGGTGTTGTTGTTTTTGGTGGAAATAACAACATTGTACAATACCATAGAAAAATTTGTATGACATGTTAGTCATTTTTTTCTGTTAATAAGTAAGATAAGGTAGATAAATTATGTTTCAAACAAGAAGAAACTTGTGCAAATTATGAATGATAGATGTTGTGTGAGCTTTACCTGTTGATGGCATGCTGAAACATTCACTTTCCGTTTTTATTTTAGTTTTAAAGCTAAAAGTGATTCGAAATCTCTTTGCAAAGAACCAAACAGGACAACAAGAAGTTCACTAACCAATCACAACTGCTTATTCTACATGTTTTTTGTTTGTCAGCCTATTTCATGACAACAATATTGACAAATCAGTTTCCACAAGTCAGATTCATACTTAACCCTTCAACTCCCAGAAGTGATTAACACGTAACTTCTCCCTGTGATATCTATACATTATCCAGCAGACAAGCAATAAGAATCAATCAATCAAGTTTATTGTCTTTATGTGAGGCATGGTTACCCAGATTGCCCAAGCCAGAGGCTCATGTATGAAACATAAGACAGCATCCCACCCCAGGGGAGGACATCCATCACACAGTGATCTCGTGCGTGGGAAATTAATGTCTCCTACCCCCTAACCCTGCAGGAAATGGGACCTCCATTTATTCGTCCCTATCCGAGAAGACTAGAATATCTAACCATTTCTTGATGTTATAGAAAAGCAGCATATTCTTCTCAATTATTTTAAGACCCTGAGTGTTGGTCTGGCTGGGGCTCGAACCCTCGACCTCCCGCTCAACAGTCCAGTGCTCCATCCATTGAGCTAACCGGGAGGCGGTTATGTTGTTATCAAGTTTTCTTGATTTAAAAACCAAATTCTCTTGACTAATTTACAAGGAAATGTGTGACAGCTAGAGGGGAGAATTAACAATCAAATCTAGGGAGTTAAAAAGGGTGAATTGACAGACAATCTGTCACTCAATTTTCATAATGAATTCTCAGGTTGCTGAAATGTCAATCACTTTCACACAACCAAGGGTTTCAATAAGAATCAGCTTCTGCATAAATTTGCTGTCTGTTGGATTATTCTAGGGAAGGTTATTGTTTTCAATTTCTCCCATGACTTCATGTCTTAGCAAAGTACTGCCTCTTAAACAAGATGAAGTACGGTTGATTAAAAACAAATTCTGTATATAGCCTTGAAATGGTAAAATTTTCATGCATGGAATTAAGAGACAAATTTACATTTGTAATAATAGGTCTTAACGAAACCAAATTACTCCACCGCATTTCACCGACAACCTGGTTGATTTCTTTTCTTTGTTTCTTTCCCCTTCTTTTTTTTCTTATTCTTGCTTGCCCGCCAAGCCATTTTAACTAGATGAAAGTAAAGATAAATTCTCTACTTGAGTCAAGTGGCTCCCGCAGCTGGAACTTTTGGGGACGTAAGAGTTCAAATATCTTAGCAGTGGTATTACTATAAACTTTTTCATTGAAACAAAAGACGCAGTGGTAACGGTTATCAAAAGTTTATTCTTTGGGTCATTAGAGAACCACCAATTTTAAATACTGCTATTCATTCACTATTTATTACATACTGGTACCAGGGTTTTCATTCAGAAATAAGTTTGCATGGTACTGGTGAAGAGTAACAGACTGAACTACATGCTAGAATAAAAACACTTAATCCTCAACTCCCTGAATTGATTAACATGTAACTTCTCCCTGAAGTGTCCATACATTCTCCAGAAAACAAGTCATGAGACTACTTACCTACACATTCCCACCCTTGCATACACTTTTTTCCTTTTTACCCACTGATTGCAAGATTGCTTATCAGTAGAGTGGGAACCCACCTTCATGGGATTCCATATATCAACACCAAAGGAAGCCACAAAGGTTGCTAGTGAAACTACTGATTAATATACTTAATACAAAAAGACTACTTAAAAGTATCAGATAGAAGTTGTTACCTTGATTTAACTCTAAGTTCCTGTAACCAATTTACAAGAAAATCTGCAGCAGGTAGAGGGGAGAATTAACAATCAGATCTTGGGAGTTAGAGGGTTAAAGCTACAACAATTGTTTAATTTTCTGATTTACAATGAAAACACCCTGCATGTATGTGATTAGTTTAAAAGCAACAATGTAAAGGTAGTTACAATAAACTAATATAGGTGTCAAAACTACTAAAATTTGTCCATGTAATCCTATTTGAAACCTTTAATATTTTTGTTTTTCTGTGCATGTGTAACTATTCGAAAATCACATAATACAAATTAAATCTATAACAGCACTGCTATCTACTTATAATCTTGCTGTTTCATCTGACTCGTCAGAAGGTGGTTTTTCATCACAGACTGTTTGGTTTGGTTGCACCAGTGCTAAAGCCTGCTCTAGTCTTTCCTTGTAAAGTCTGTACTTTTCTTCCACCTACAGTATGGAAAGTTAATTTTTTCAGTTTGTAAAAGAAATGGATATTTAAAGGCTGCCCGTGGATACAAATGTTGATGATCTCTCTTGCAAGTGAGTGAAGCAAGCAAGAGAGACATTGTTATAATAATGAAAAGTTGAGAAGTAAAGTCAGCATCCAAGGAAATGCACACCAACCCCCCCCCTCCCAACCCAACATTAACCATGACTTCTTATCAGTTGACAGTTGTTAGGTTGAGGGGGGAGGAGTGGGTGCCCAGTCGCTCAGATACTGACATTGATCTCCCTTTAACTCCCATGAGTGATCAAGACAGAATTTCTCCCTACAAAATCAATACAATATCAAGTAGACAAGTGATGAGAAGAAAGAAAACTATCAACAAGGGTATCCTTAGTTGATCCAATACCAAATTCTCCAAACTTACATGAGAAGAATTGTATGTCAGACAGTAAGGAGAATTACTAAGAAGATCTTGGCAGGGAAGGGGTTAATTTCATATCCACAAGAGATTATTAAAAGTTGTTTTTTTTTTTTATGGATAACAATGAACTACTTAACTCAAGGACAGTTTCAAATCACATCATTCTCAACAGCAGCAAATGCATAGCTCAGCTAAATGTAACCTTAGCTTGTCAAAAAGCAACTTCACTTTGAACACAATAATTTTAAGAGTCCTCAAAAAAATTTAAGCAGTGATGACTAAGTAGGAAAACCACTCATGAAAAGTACAAATGATCTGTTGATAAATCTGGTAACCATGACAACATTGTAGGGTGTAGTTAGGGGGTGTTAGGGTGCCCACATCCCCTCTCCTTTGCATAAATCCAAGTGGAAAAGACTTGGTCTGTAACTTACAGTACAAACTTTGAGGTCAGTTAGTTAGAGGTATTAAGAGCTACAATGTTCATCTGACAGCCCTTTCTAAATTAAAAATAGCCCACAGATACACAATATAGAGCACAGGCACAAGCCAGCTTACTTTTGTAACTGTGAGCCCCCCTCCCCCTTTAAAAAAGTCCTCAGTTTCTTGTGGCAGCACAAAAGTAATGTTAATTCTAATATTTCATGAATACCTGGTATACATATGACAATGACCAGTGATAACATTAAACACTGACCTGCAATATATGTTCTTCCTCTTCTCTGTCCAGTATCTTCATGAAATTTTGAAGCTCTGGTGTTGTGAATACCTCCCACTGGAAAAAAAGGCAACACAACTGTCAAAATGGGAAGGAGGGTTGCAGTGTTCCGTGCACAGTGCACTATCGTCAATCTTTTTATTTTTCACTATCTTTTTTGACTCACATGATAGATTTCACCAAGTATGGTTTACGGTCAAGTCGCTTGAGAGTCATCTCACCTATAGAAAGTCATGTCGCCCAAAAAAGTTTCAAGTAGGTCGAAGAAACAAATACTTAAATGATGATGAGTGACAGACTTACAGACTGTAAATAGGCTATAAAGTTGAGAAATCTTTATCACTAAAGCACTCTTTATTTGCTATTCCATAAATTTGTCTACTATTCCATAAATTTGCCATTCAGCCACTAGTTGTCACACCAATTCAAAAGGCAAGATTCTAACTAAGAAAGTAAAAAGTTCACACAATTTGAGTTTAAAAATTTGGCTATGCTTACCACAATATCTCCTGTTTCATTCTCCTGGAGTGAGAACTTGTGTCTTATGTCTGCTCCACCCCAAAGTAACCTTAGCACCAGGGGTTTCTCAAAGTCAGACATCCGACGAAGAATGACTGAAAGAAAATGATCAAAAAGACCACAAATTACTCGTGAAATAGATAGAATCAAATTCTAACTAGTTTCACAAAAAGCATGTGAAACACTGTTTGAAAAGGATAACAGGTTTCACATGGTTTTCTTAACATGCCATTCACATGACAAATTTCACAAGTAAGATTTTGACATTTTTATATAAACATGTTAAAACCATACGAAAATGGTGTGAAAATTACCACACCATATTTAAACTCTTCACATAATTGCTTTTGGTGTTTGGAAAGGATAACATGTTTCACATGGTTTTCTTAATATGCTTTTTACATGACAAATTTCACAAGTAAGATTGTGACATTTTTATATTAAAAATATATTAAGACCATCTGAAAATGGTATGAAAATTGCTACACATGTGATATTTCAAACTGTTCACATAATTGCATTTGGTAGTGCAGACCATTATGGGAAATGAATGCACTTATTCAGTCATTCAACAGGGTTGAACTTTCAGATTTACTTTTTAAGCTTGATTTTTAAAGCAACAAACTTTTACAAAAATCAGATTTTTTGCTGGTCATGTAAAAAACGTCAATGGTTTTGCTTGTGCTGTTTTGGTATTTTGCCCACATGCAATCAATGTGATGCTCAGATAAGCTTGTCGGATGTAGTTAGAAAACTAGACACCAAAATACTAGAAAATAAAAATATAGTCACTGTGGCATAATGAATCCCTTATTCAATGGTTTAATACCAGTATATATTACTTAACTGAACATTTTGCTCTTTGCTTGTAGTTTTCTTAGCACCTTTAGGGCCCCGGGGGGGAGGGGGGGTAATCAGGATTTCAAGTGACAGGAATGATCAAATGGGGGAAAAACTCAAAACCCGAAAAAAATCCCTAAGGCTTCAAACAAAACCCAAAAATGTTCCTGCATGGGACCAAAATTAATTTGGTTTTATTTCATTTATGGAGCTAAGCAGCCAGAAATCAGGATGTTTAGAATACCCAAAATTAATGTCTCTACTTAAATCAAGCTACCAAAAAAAAAAATACTTACCAAAATTTTCCTACCCCAAAAAATCCCAAAATTGATAATTTCAAACCCCAAAAAATCCTTCAGTCA